ATACTCCGCAAGCACCAGTAGTCAAACACGGCCAAGCGTTTCATGTCTTCGCTGCGGATTGACAAGGTCTGATCCACGCCTTACCGCAGCGTTATACACCCCACCTTTCACTGACAAACTGATATCCCGCTGTCTCTGGAACGTCACAAGTACCATGCTGATACGCAAAGTAACCTCATCAGTGATGTGACCACCTGAGGTGACACAGCTACCAATGTAAGGGAACCGATCCACCACTTCCAGTGGCTGTTCGGAAATAACTAAAATCGGAGATGTGTCGCCCAGTCCTACAACAGCACTTTGAAGATGCAAAGTACAAGCCGAGACGTGCAGCAATACGCACAAGTCATTACAATAGTGCTTGCATAGCCAATGAATCGGACCCAAGGAGAACCATGTCGTCCGCATACTCCAGGTTTGTCAGCCGGTCGCCTGGCAGAACTTTGACTCCAGAACCGAGTCATTGATGATCATTTCGATCACAAAGGAGATAACGGACAAACCCGGCAAACCCCACTTGTCGTGGGAATTCAGGAGAGTTTCTCGTAGACTCGTACACGGCATCGGTACTCACGGTATAGGAACTTAAGCATGGAAAGGAATTTAGCCAGCACGCCATTCATGGAAAGGCAGCGTCACAAACTGGTGCAGTCAACAGAGTCGAAGGTGGATTTCAAGTCTAAGAAAACCACCATAGTCGGTCGTTTGTATGTGTGTCTCTGATCTAAAACATGGCGAAGAGTAAATATGTGGTCGATGCAACGACGGCCAGGGAGGAAACCAGCCTGACTTTTAGGGATTCGGTCCTCACAAGGGTCAGTAAGTAGTCGAAGAGTGATTCTAGTAAGAAATTTGGAGGCAATGGAAATAAGGCAAATGCCTCGATTATTTGCGCAAAGTACGCTGACCCTTCTTGAAGATGGACACGACAGTTGATAGTCGTCAGTCTGAAGGCACCTTTTCAATGTCCCAAATGGTATTAAAAAGAGAAGCAAATCCAGACAACAAAGAGTCACCACCATCTTTCAACAAAGATGGGGGAAAGTTGTCGCGTCCAGGATCTTGGTTTCGTTTCAACACAGAAAGTTCATGTCAAATCTCTTCAAAAGTGGAAGATGTGATATCAACCTCCCACGTAGACTCAAGTGATTCGGCAAGTGGGTAGTGTCGTAGCAGGCCTGCTGAACTGATCCTCAAAATGCTCCGTCCAACGGGCTGGTCGATGACGCTGAGAATGGACTAACAATCCATCTTTTTCGATTATTGTCTCGCTAACTGATCGCTTTCATGGATCCGTGTTCCAGATAAAATGGAACAGCACTCGGCGATTCACGACAGCGCTGGCCTTTTCCACCCGACGAGCTTTCGCAACCCAACAAGTTACCCGGTCAACTCGAAGACTCCTTGTCAGACGTCGACTCAGGGTTACGGATACGCTGAAACGCAGTGCCCATAGGAAGGCGTTTACGCGCTTCGATCAAACTAATCGACGCTTCAGAGGTCTATTTACGGTTACGAGGTTTCAAATTAGGTGCACAGTAAGCGTCAAAGGCATTCTCCATGGGACATGTGAGACGATCCCAGTCAGCGTTTGGCTCACCAGCCTCATTCATCACTGACAATTGGTAGGACAGTTCGTTATGATATTGTTGGACCGCAGACTGCGAGTTCAAGTTACATGTAAGATTAGAAGACAGGCGCTTCCTTGAAGCGGGAAGAGTGAGCGCAAAGCGTACGCGCACTATACCATGGTCAGAATCCAGGCATGTGCTCCAAATTCAAATAGACCGACAGGCTTGCACTGATGTGCGTCACCTATAAGTTATAGCAATATAGTCAATTTTGGTCCAGGTCACTGAGGAATTCGGCGAACGCCAGGGGACGCGATGTGAACGTTTGTTCTGGAAAGCAGTGATACTAATGTAAATATTGTAGTCGGCGCACAGTTGCAGGTATCCATCACTATTGTCTGTTTGGCATGTATCGACATCGAATCTGTAGGACGACCAACTTGGCCATTCAAGTCACCAGCGGCAATCACGATGTCAGTACTCTTGGCCATGCGGAGAAGAGATGAAAGATGGTAGTAGAAATCATCGTTGGTACCCTCCGAAGTGCAGTCAGTAGAAGCATAAACGAAGGCGATGAAAAGTCACGTCTTCAGATGTTGTTTATTAACTCCAAGAGGTTCAAAGTAGAACCGCACAGATGCGACTGTTCACCGGTATCCATCGAGTAGAGTACCTACAGCACCTTTGGTGAAGGCGATACTAACACCGTAAATACCTTGAGCCATTGAATTGCTATCACCGGAGTGTAGTTATCGTCCTCAGATTCAGAAGCAGGGAGTCGAAGATTCGTCACAACGCTGTTATCCTGTATGGGTGTTTCGGAGACACAGAACACATCAATACCAATAGAGTGAAGAGTGAGAGTCAGTGCTGCTTGTTGACCGGTCTGGCCCAAAGTGCGGAAGTTAAAAGAAACAATGTAAAATGAAACTGGTGGTGTGATGGACGAGTTATGAGTATCGATGGCACCAGATGCGAAGTCAGCGGCAGATTCGTGCACAATAGACGAGGAGGAAGAGTTGAGAGGAAAGAAAAACAAAAAGAGGGAATATTGTCGACGTCATCGAGAGGGAAGATGATACTCTCCGGCTGCCCGTTCCGTAGGAATGGCTTTGTTCGAGGGGCCCTACCTCTAGCCTTTGACTCAACAGTCTGATCCACAAGACAGTGGGGGATATGGAGGTTCGCTTGAAGAACTCCACCCGGAGCGTTTAGCTCAAAAGCCAGATCCACAAGGCAGTGGAGAGTGAGTCCAGCTTAGGAGTGTGATTGCAGGTACCCACAGGGATCTGCACGGAGGATTTTGCTTCCTTCCAAAAACACAACGTAGGAACTCATTCGAATGGCCCTGTTCTTCGGTAAAAATCTATGGGCTTGTGATGCTGTCGCCTGTTTTTCCGTTTGAGTGTTCCTCACGCAGGCTGATTTGTCTACGTGGAAACTCAACTGATTGTGAAGAATTGGCATAAAGTGCCGGTAAGTTGAAGGCCATTGTAGAAGTCCAGATCATCCGGCAATCTAAGATGCCCGATTCTGTTGATGACCACATCAGCGAATAATCCCATTTAGAAGTAACTACCGCAGTAGTGCACCACCATTTGCTGCCACCGAATAAACTTGCTGTTACCCTTAATCTGGATAAACACGATTGTGGGTAAGCGGGTGTAGAAGACGAGCAAAACGTCAATGTGATATTTCGATTGAATGCATAGTCAATAGATGGTGAGTGTCAGAAGTGTGAATACCATGGCGACAACATAATACGAGTGAAAGCATCTCAGTCAACTTTTCAGGTACTTGAGAAAGCGAGAGCAGTGTTCAATGCACATAGTTGGGTGCACTGGTGGCGGAAGCCAGAGGGTCAGACCACAAAAATCGGCTGCGTGAGGGATGGGATGGGTTGGGGTGAAGTGAGCCTAAGATCCTGCTGAAGTTCATTAGAAGTGCAAAGCAGTGAATATACGAAGAAGCCGCTGACGTTTACGAAGGCTTGTACAGATGGCAATTGGAATCTGTCAAAAAAAGTCTAAGGTGAATGAGACTGGAACAACTGACCTTTCGGATTGCAATGGGGCGACTATACACAGAGTGATCCCATAGTGAATCGAGGTGCATAGTAAAGCGAAGCTCGTCGTCTACATGGGTCACATTAAAAAAAGAGTGAACGGTGCTTCCTGACGCAAAGATGGTGAAAAATGGGGCTGGTGTCTGGGTCACATCCACATTGGTGACCATGTGCAACAGAAACCAAAAACACACAGCGCTCGTCCTAGACACATAGGGAACAAACTACTACGTAGCAGCAAGCACAGGGAACACGGCCCGCTATATTTTGTATCAGGATTCGGTCAACTGTAACCTCGTGAGACAACGGCAACACCCGCCATGTACGATTATACAACCGGACGCATTGAAATGTGCACAAATCGCAATACAGTGTGCCGTTTAATGGGTAGCAAAAATAACTAGTTACACCATGGGATGGAGCGAATACGATAGCGAACAGTCGGTCTATAAGACTAGATCGGACGGAAATATTTTGATTTTATGTGAGAGTACTTGAGAGAGATCAAGTGACGAGGAAAGCACGACAGCAAAGAGGTACCAATCATCATACACAGCATTGATCAGCTCAGCCGTCACACACCGATCAGAAGGAAAAAGTAAACTAGTTACCGCAAGCGTTTCTCACTGCCATATACTACAGGTAGTACCCCTTTCAGTCTGTGATCTCGATCTCTGGTTTGTTTCCGGTCTAAACCGTTGTAGCCATATAGTTTAGAAAATTGATGAAATCTACCGGCAAAAAGCAAAGGAACGGAGATTAAGGAAGATAACGCGGAGAGCACACTGTACAAATGCATGGGAAGTAAGTGTAAATTGGAGAATCACATAGACAAAGAAAGCTGTGGCCAAGAGACGCGCAACCTCCAACAAAAGAGAAGACTGGGACATTCTCGTGGACGACAGTGGTACCAAATGCAACTCATAGACAACTGGCTCAGTGTAGGCAGGTGACATAAACCGTATCGTGTTCGCCATTCACAGGAAGCATCCACGGCATTATTAAAAGCTACGATAAATTCAAAAGTAAAAGAAATACAGTAAATGTAGTAGTTTATGATCTGTCTGAGGAATACGATCAGAATAGACAGCATGATTCCAAACACAAATGGGCCGGGAAACAAAATGAAGCAGAAGGGTGCAAAATGAATACAAGCGAAGATAAGTGATGGGCAGCAGAGCGGAGGATAGGGTGTAAAGTCGGAAATAGACGAGCAGAGAGTTACTCTGAGCTAGCAGAAGAAAAGCGCATATTGCGAGCCAAAAGCCCAGGATTGAGGCCTACAAGTAGCGAGGAAAGTAACCGGTGGACAAGTGGCAAGCTGAAAGAACAGCCGAGAGGAAAAGAAAAAGACCCAGGAAATCTTAATTCTTCAAAAACGATGAACCAAACTCCTTGCCCTTTTTGATATTTTTCTTCAGCTCTGGAAGAACTTGATTCAGCATGTTTACTTCAAAATCGTTCAACTTCCCAATACCCATGTTGCGTTCAACGCCATTAGCCTACAAGAGAAAGATTGGATCATAAGCTGTGTTGTGATAGCAGCGAGATATGATGGGAAACAGAAATAAAGAAAACCCGAGAGGGTTCAGGATGTTGATTAATGCAAAAAGAGGACAGAGTATGAGTAGGTCGAAATATGAACGCTGCGGCATGAAAATCAAAAAGTCAAGAGAAAAAAGTGCGGATAATGACTTAAAGGCGCCAACGCCATTAAATGTGTCTACCTGGGACAAACTGTGAAGCCAAGTCAATAGAAGCCAACGGAAATTAAGGATACACCTGCAATACGGCGAGTATCTGGAGTTATGGAGACGATCAGAATTCGAAAATGGAACCTTGATTAAAATACACGACAGAGTAGATGGACAACCGCTCAAATAAGCTTGTGATAGATTAATGAGCAAAAAAATTGAAGATACCTAGCAAAGTCGAAGCAGTGCAAAAGTATCCATAATTAACATACAAGAAATGGCAAACAACACTGAAAGTGTAACAACCAGTACTGTTTAGTTCATCCACAGCTCATGAGTGAAATCGCCCCCATCGCGTTACGGTGGAAAGAGATGATGATCTATAGCGACACGATAGGTTGTTTGTGCATTTTATCGTCCTGTGTCAGTCTCCCATTGTGGATGACTCGGCACCACATTTACTTCGGATGGGTATTTTAGCTGGTAATTGAAAACGGCATCACTGATGAGATCGCACGGCACATCTGCAATCTCTTCAGTAAGTTACAGTGAATCGCAACATCTACAACATGTTAGGCCAGAAATACTGACGGCACCTTGTCGAAGGGATCACGAGGGCTAAAAAAACTTCGTAAAATAGTTTTTCAGCCTGAGATTAATCAGCATAAGCACTAAAGAAACAAATAAATAGTTTGTTCTCGATACGCGAGCACGGGTGTGATCATGGTAAGACGAAAACGAGTGGCCGGGAAACGTACAAAAATATATAAAGATTGTCATATCTGGATTTATGTGTAGGTGAGGAGATGTTGCACCCATTCATATGCCTCCCGGTCTTATTCCTTCGGGATTACACTAATTATGGGGGGTGTGGATGGAGCAGTGGGTGGTGCAACGCAAGCCACCCACGGTCCTTCTGTAGGCGTCCTGTGGCTGTCCTATGAAAGCCACAATGACAGGCAAATGCGGAACCGGATGCCGCGGAAGCAGACGATGCGTCCTGTCGTCTCAGTCGGACTGAACTCGACTGACTGTCGGACGTGCGCTCTAGACATGAAACTTCCCGTGTGCTATGCAATGCCTGGCTGTGTTTGATGAGAATGTTAATAAGGTGCCTATTTGTCCATCAACCCCCACGTCGATTATACTGGCTCCAGGAAACTGTGAATCGTTGCTATGTTCAAAGAGTGGTCCTATGCAGTATAGAACGAGCAACGGCCCAGACACTGCCTTGTGTACGTCCGGTACGCATGATTCCTCAAATAAACATGAATGCTGCTGTTGTGCGAGTAGAGGCAGTGTGGGCCGGCTTCAATCTATATGCCACCCGGTCTTATTCCTTTGGGTTTACACTGTATATGGGGTGTGTAGATGAAGCTATGGGTGGTGTAGCGCAAGCCACTCATGGGCACTCTGTAGGTGCAAGCGTGTTGTGGCTGTCCCCGTGAAGGCCACAGCGACAGGCAAATCCGGACACGGATGCCGTCAATCCATGTGTGTAGCTGTATTGCTTGGGTGTGTAAATGTCCTTTAAGTTTTAAGTGTTTGATCACGTCGTCAATGTCACTGGAGATAAATGATGTATGTTGATTAGACACGATTATCCGGGTAAGCGAAATGCAGTGACAAGTTTGTGGCGAGTCACAACCGCCCCGTCACAGGGTTGACGCATATTTGCTGCTTTTCAAAGAGATAACGCTTGCGAGGCGAAAACTTACCATGTGCTGAAACACTTCTGCAGAACTATTTGCTGGAACGGGGTAAACCACCCAGCTAGAACCACAAGGAGGTTGCTCGACTAGCCAGAAATAAACATAGATCATACAAATTTGTTGATTCGACGAATCATCCTGATCCTCAATGTCTCGCAATTGTTTGTGTATCAAATCGCAGAGCACATACTGGTATCGCCTGATTCGGGTAACGTTTCTTAGGTAACCGTGGTCAAAGAACAGGCGCCTGGAATTTTCAGGCAGGAGGCAAAATTCTGTGATCGAAAACTTGAACGACGCGAAACATGGCTTCGAATATTTGAACTTCGTAATCGCAGTAGATCCGCAATATCGCAGTCATCAAGCATATCTGACCGCTATACTAGATGGGTTGATTTCGAGAATTGTGCCTTCGCAACCGGTGATGCAGCCATAGATATGCGACTAGTTTCCCGTTTTCAAAGAGTAGTGTTAAACAAAGGATAGGGCAATGGCATGGAGCTCGAGAAAGATCAAGTGAATCTGGTTCGAGATATTACGGAGAAATGCGACGCGACCGCCCCAGTGGTGCCCTTGCTACTGTTTCCTAGTCGAACTGACCATTTAAATTGAGTGTAATTATCATGACTATGAATACGATTTGAGAACGAAGAAACTGCTGCATCGATGCCGCCCAAGCTGCATCTGGTAGCCCACCATTTTTAACATACGTTGTCACAACGTAATAGGCGCATTGACCCTGGATATTTATTTACGGACAGATGTCACTTCTTGTTAGTACCGCTTAGAGTAGCACCTTCATTCATGGGGGAAAAGCGCCAGTTCCAAATAGCAACTAGCCGATTAAAAAAATCCTTCCAAAAAGCCATTATTTCAGCGAGTAATCAATTGTTACGGATTATCGTATCGATTTCGAACATTCTGGAATATTCTAAGGCTTGCATGTGACTGCCAACTATTTGAAGATTGACCATATCGCCATGGAACTTCCAATTCACACAGCTGACCTTCCAATTCCAGAAGTCGAAGGGCAGAAAGCGACCCATAAATACAACCAAGGTCCGTTGCAGTTGTATAGTCTGTTTGGTCGTGGGTAACGCGTTATTTTGTCAAGGTCAGTTGTGTTCTGATTTTTTCTTCGGTTAGGCTGGAAATTTTGTGAAACAGTAAATGTACATTTCGGAATCGTGGCAAGTGGGAAGATTAGAGTAAATGGCGACGGAGAAAGTCGGAAATGTGATGAATTTTTCTGCTGGACAATCTTAAAAGCTGCTTCTCCGACCACAATCTTAAACGGAGGCACAAATGAAAATGATTGAAAATTGGACGCGATGCCTAGGACAGCAGTTTACAGGAAAAGCGGCGCAGGCCAATTCCGTTGATATTCGCATGAATGCTATCAGTGAATTCGACTATGACGCGGATTCTGAATGCACATTCAAAGCGCGGTTCAAGCGCTGTTGCAGACGGATTTCAGTCGTCAGGACGATCGCTGGAAGGTTCGAATATTACTCCACAAGTTCGGCACAAGTAAACACTCCGCTCAAATAGGTGAAGGATCAGACGTTCGATGAGGCAGTGTCGCAGCCCAATGAAAACTTTTGTGAGTTAGTTTATTTGTTCAGTCATTCATTCATTCATTATACACGTCAGCTAGAGGTGGGAAACAGCTCAGCTACCGTGCCGCATTATTTGTTCAGTATCCACTATCAATCCCTAAAAATTGTCAAACGGGAAACGGACGATTTTGGAGACCTAGCAAACATGAGTAACCGCGAGTGTGAGCGTTTCAAGCTACGCTCTTTGACGGACCATCAGTGTAAGTATCTGATTTTCGTCAGTGCTCTACAGTCCCTCAGTGATGCTGAGATCCGCACGCGGCTTTTAGCTAAGCTTGATCAAGATCACAATCTGACACTTGGAGGTGAATGAAAACGCCTGTTCACTCTGAAACACGACACTTCCATGATCGAACTGAATCGCCTCTCACCACCGTCCACTCCGTGAAAAAGACTAGGACTGTCAGCTCAAGCAAGCTGTTCAAGAGGACTCCTAACAAACCTTCCACAGTATGCTGGTTATGTGGCGAATGGCACTTTGCATATTTTGCCCATTCAAACATCACGCCTGTGAAGTGCCATAAGAGGAATTCTGCAATCAGGCCCGGTAGAAGGACATGAAGAAGCCCTATCAAAAGAACTTTAGAAAGGATCGTGTATAATCCCTGTCCAAAGTTGCTGCAATCCAAAATGAGCTTAAATCGTGACGACGATACATTATCGTGTTGACCAATGGGATCCAACGAAACTGCAATTGGAAACGACCTCGGACATTACAATTAATTCCAGGAACACATGTAATCACATAAGGAGGTCAAAGATGGTCAAGTCTCACAAAGGTGTCCACAACGCATCTGGTGGTGTGCTAAAATTGTTCGACGAACTTACTTGCAAGATTGCATTCAAAGGCATGGAAAAATCAGGAACATGCTACATTTCGAACCAGACGAATTTGAGTCTTCGTGGTCTTGAGTGAATTGATGTTAATTTGAATCAGATCTGCAATCGAGTCCGAGCAAGTCCAGACCTCTTATCGAAAACTGTCGAAGACATGACACGTTCGCTGAAGCGGAAATTAACTTCAGTCTTTTAGGATTGTCTAGACCATTGCACAAAATTCAAGGCAACGCTGAACCTGCGACAATGAGCAAAACCAGTCTTTAAGACCAAAAGATCGGTACCCTATGCAGCCATAACCACCGTTGATCAAGAGCTTGATCGACTAAAACGAGCCGGAGTCCTCACACCTATCAACTACTCCCAATAGGCCGTATCAATTGTAACAGTGAAGAAAGCAAATGGCAAGGTACACGTCTGTGCTGATTTCTCGACTACACTGAACGCTGCGCTGGACAACCACCAGTACCCAATATCTGTACCGGAAGATAGCAAAACTGAGTGGTGGTAAAAGCTTTACCAAACTAGATCTGTCTGATGCCTATCTTCAAGTGGATCTTGCAGAAGATTTGAAAGAAATACTGAAGATTAACACTCATCGTGGGCTAGTCCAGTACAAGCGCTTGCCCTTTGGTGTAAAAACGGTGCCAGCCATTTTCCAACAATAGATGGATACCATGCATGCGGAAGTTTCTGCAACCGCTCCATATCTGAATGATATCATAGTGACAGGTCGAACGGTGGAAGAGTTATCTAACCGTCTGGATTAAATTCCTGGCTGTAGCCAGTCGTACGGTCTCCGGATCCGTGAGGACAAGTGTACGGTGTTTACGCCGAGCATCAAATATCTTCGTTTTATCCTAGAAAAGGATGGAGGTTGACCAGATAGAGCAAATGCAGAAACCATACGAAAAATGTCTCCGCCAACAGAGATACAGTTCCTGCGTTCCTTTTGTGGTCTCACCAGTCATTACAGCGCATTTTTACCTGAGATGCACCGCCCACAGGCCTTCGCGGCTTAACTGATGTCTAGTGGAAGCACCGCGTGAGCAATGAGCGTGTGTGGCGTCGCGTATTTGGTGCAGGAAGAGCGAGTGAACCGCTCAGCACCGTTATATCACGCACCAGGCTCCGATGGCTAGACCACGTGTTGCGCATGCCAGTCCACCGACTCCCACATCGTGCGCTGTTTGCGCGCCGGGTGTGTGGATGGAAGAAGAAGTGGGGTGGTCAAGTGATGACATGGTCAAAAGGAAGAAAATCCCTCACTTTGAAGTGGGCATCAATTGTTGTGTCCCGACTGCCTGGCTAAAGTCCAAAGGACGGTGAACACGTCTGGAAGGGCACCCTAATTGACATGGCAGTGAGCCGACCTCAATGGCGTTTGGGTTGTGAGCTTTTTGTCCTTTTCTATCCAGCTTATCTTCCCTCCTCCAACCCCGATCTCCCACTTGACGCATAATATGTTACTAAGTAGTGCGTCGTCTGTTTGCTGCATACTATATTTTCTCAATATCTTGCTTTTTCGTATGTCTTTATGTATTGCTGCACAATAGTTGAACTGTGTTTCTTACCTTCAGCTAATGTGCAATGATGATGATGATGATGCTTGCGTACCCCGCTAAATAAGCAACTAATCAAAGGCTAATCTTGGAACTGGACGTCGGAATGCCAGAATGCCTTCGAATGGGTCAATTAATTGTTGGCCTCAAACCTGCTTTTTGACTCATTTCAAAACTTCTAGTGATTGTCCTCGCTGCGGTTGCATCAAACTATGGGATCGGTACAGTAATTTCACGTGCGTACTCGGATGAGTCTCAGAAAGCAATTGTTCACGCCGCCAGAACACTTACGAAGGCCTAGACAAACAACAGCCATGTCGAAAAGGAAGCGCTGGCCATAGTGCTTGTTGTGAAGAGATTTCACAAGATGCTGTACGGCCGCCGCTTCAAGCTTTCGACAGACCACAAAGCCTTAGTGGCTATCTTTGGTTCGAAAAGAGGCACTCGGCCACAACGATGGGCTATCTTAATGGGGTATGATATCGAGATCTATTACTAGTCAACAACTCACCTTGGCCAAACGAATACAGTGTTACGCCTAATTGATGCCCATCAGCAAGAACATAAGGACACAGGCATTGCCTCAGTCGACATTAAATCGGAAGTAAACTACCTTGTGAGGGACGCATTGCACAACCTAGCAGTTACCGCAGAAGCTGTACGAATCGAAACGCTTCGGGATCCAGTAATCAAGAAAGTCACACAGTTCCACAAAACAAGTTGACCGCGTTCATGTTCATCCGTCGAGTTGCAGCAGTACTACCAGAGGAGACATTCGCTCTCTACTGTGAAAAAACTGTATACTATTTTCCAGAGAGTTGTTATCCTCAAGACACTTCAGGAGAGCGTTATTCGGCAGTTCCATACCGGGCATTCTGGGATCAAACGGATGAAGGCGCTTGCCAGCAGCTATGTGCACTAGCCCTTCATGAACAAACAACTAGAAGAACTGGCTAAACGCTGTCAAAAGTGTCCTAAAAGCGCCGCAAAAAACGGAGCTTCATTCATAGCCAAAAGTTATAAAATCATGGTGCCGTATACATGTAGATTTCGCAAGACTGGTCAGTGGCCAGAATTTCCTCATCATAATCGACTATAGCAAGTGGTCTGAAGTGTTTCTCACGGACAGTACAACAACCAATGCTACTGTATCAAGACTGCGCCAAATCGTCAGCAGATTGGGCTATCTAGAGACAATTGTAACACAACGGTACGCAATTCACTTCGGTAAGTTTTACGGAGTTTTGCAAGCAATGCGCCGTCCAGCACATTCGCTCACCGCCGTTTCACCCACAGCCGAAAAACCAGGCAGAAAAGTCCGTGGATACGTTCAAGCGAGCTCTCCACAAATCAAAAGTGGAGGGACGTATAGAGGAGGTGATTGACCGGTTCCTATTCCTTTACGGATCAACACCGAATCCACAGGTGTCGGATGGAGTTTTGCCAGAACAGGTTATGATGAACAGACAGCTCCGTATGCCCTTCGATGCTATTCGATCGGGTTTAGAGCCATCTGTTGGTGAAAAAACCCGCAAAATGGAACAAGGTTTTAATCGACGGCATGTAGCAAAGAATCGATCGTTCACACCGGGACAGACAGTGTAAGTAGATGACTATAAGGAAGTCTATCCGAAGTGGACGCCAGGTACAATCAAAATCAAGCGTCGAAATGTCATTTATAACGTGACCGTGGGGACGCAGCTCTGGGCCTCCCGTGCAAACCAGCTACGGTCAAGGCCGTGTCAAGCAGAAGATGCAAAAGCTACCGACTTATTAATGAAAAGCTTCAACATGCCAAAGGAGCTCGTGGACGACTGCTATCAATCGAGCAAGGAAACAAAACTACAGACACAAGAACCCGCTTCTCCAGCATTTCAGCCGAGGTGATCGACCGATGAACATTGAACATGGTCCAAAAGACTGCAAGTCAATCCACTACAGATCCCGTTTCAGGAGGGGTTTCCGGGAGAAGATAAAAATTGCTCCCGAAAAGCCATTATTTCAGCGATTAATCGATTGTTATTATTATATTATTCAACACCTGACCAATATACAATTGGCAGTGCCACAACACATAGTTAACAACAACTACTACTACAACAAAAAGGGGAAAACCGGTAGACAGTGGAAAGGTTTACAAGGTTAATGTGTTGGGCAGACAGAGGTCTTCACGGTTACCTAGGCTGATTGTCATCGATTATCGAATCGATTTCGAAGTTTCTGGGATGTTCTAAGGCTTGCACTTAACTGCTAACCGCCTGAAGATTGATCAAATCGTTGTGGAAATACAAATTTCGATAGCTGACTTCCTATACCAGAAAGCGAAGGTTGGAAAGCGTCCTGTTGCAGTTGTACCGTGCTTTTGGCGGCGGTTAACGCGTTATTTTGTCAAGGTCATTTGAGTTCTGATATTCCATTCGGTTGAGGTCTTGTGGAGCAGTAAAGTGCACATTTCGGTATCACGGAAACTGAGGAAAGTATAACAGTAACGCACAGTTGCTGTCGATGATGAAGATGGTTTATTAGCAACCGAAAGATACGATGAAAAGAATGGCGCTTCTGTGTCAACGGTTACGGTGCGGTCTAAAGGGTCTTGCAAGATCGATGAGTAGGTGTGCGCAGGAGAATCACTAAATGGGCACTGCACAATATACACGGGTCACGTAGTTCCGAGAAATTGTTCAAATAACCACCTACGTACTGAGCTGTAGCGTAACTTGGTTGTTAATGCGAAGAAGACAGGTAAAATGAAGCGACTCACTCCCAATGTTACTGGTTCGGCGAAGAATTCACAATCGGACACGTCGCTTCGTACAAAAGCGCATTCAACAACACCGGCACGTCCATTCATAGCCTCCATCAAAGAGGTGACGAAACGAACACCAGAGTAAGCCATGCTTAGAGTGGCAGAACCCTGTAAAGACAGAGTCAGATGACGATGTGAAAAGTGAGCGTCGTGGTGTTAAATAGCACAGTCGCCAGAGCGCGCATACAGAGCGGTGGCTAAATGAAGTTCTAGAACACAGGATTCAGACGTCACAGGAGGAAGAAAGCCCATGGCACTAAAGAAGACTGAATGAGTTACAAAGATATGCTCGATTGCAAAATTTCGTAATGTATTGCCCAAGTTTATGTTCAAGCGAAAAATATAAAGAAACTGGTGGGATATAGTTAGTTCAATAAACAAACGGTGTTCCCAATAACGTACGGCAGTGTGGGAACAGGTAACGACTATTTCGCTGGTCCCATGCTTTAAGGATCCTGCGAAGGAAAATGAGAAGGCCTCACAAAAATGATTCTGAAGTTCACATCTGGCAGGTAGCGTACGCATAGAGTAGCCTTAAACGTTGGCCTACAGTGTAAGTAGAATACCACACAGAGACTTACATCCCTACGCACAGTGATACTAAGGCGGCAGCGCTAAATCTGAATATGAAGTCAAGCAGAGTTCCATGCCGTTTGGACCAAAACATCCGGTGTCACTTCCGCACCGCCACTTTGTCACCGCAGCAACGGACATTCTGGTGGGCAACACTAGCTGTAGGATCTTGCGCAGTTATTCAATCATGAGTCAAGACTTTGTAGTAAGGTGAATACTACGTAAATGCGTCAAAGATCTTGTAAGGCGTGCAAAACCAACGAGTTAGTTGATGGCGCCACTTATCGCAGGTCAGGCTCCAGACAGCATTCACTAACACCGATTACCATTGATTACTCTGGGTCGCCAGTAGAGACCGAGAAGAACAATAATTCACCATCTGTTCGCTAACTTCGGTAGGTTGTGAACTCCAGACGTATGGTGGACTGATTTCATGAACACATGTATGAAACGCTGTCTCGACCTATCTTCTTTGTGACGTGCTACAAGTCCGAGAGCATACTGTACGAAGTCGGTGGGGATAAATTTGACAACCGCGTGTTCATTGATTCAGGTAAACACATTTGGGGTCCGTAGAGATCGCGAGTAAGAATTAACCGCATGTCCGTGTTTCGTTTTGCCTAGACTACTCAGAATAACAATTGACATTACTGGCGCAGGTTGCGGATTTGTTTGACGTGCATCGGATGAGCACACGGTGATGTAGTGGGTAATGCTTGAACAAGACTTCAACAAAAGTACGGCTTAGTGACGCTACAATCTAGTGAAAAGCAAAGGGGTTTGGCAAAATAAAGCTGTCATGGCTTCGATAACGCCAGAAAGAAGCGTCTTTTCTCTTCGTCACCAGCTTTGATGGAGGTCGACCGAAAACCGTCATGTGGACCAATATTCGAAGGAAATCATAGCATGTAAGTCACACTGCAGCTCGCACATGCAGCTGTAATGGCACCCAACGAAAATATTCGTTTCCTGAGTTTGGTCATGCACGCTTCGCGAAACACGCTAGACAGAATGCTCTTGATAAAACCTATCTCAGGTTTCCGTTGTCAGTGAAGGATGAGCTCGGCTAAAAAGTCGTCATACCGAGCTAAACATCAGAAACTCAGCCACCCGTTGTTGGTGCCGCTAAGCAACAAGATTGGAACAGATGACAAGCAGCACAGACATTGAGGACCTGTGGGTCTGATGATAGACCGTGAAAAGATGCACTGTTTTTTGCAACTCGAGTGTGAAATCCAGGAGATTCGTGTGATCGATAAATAACTCTAGATAATATACTAAGAGACAATGACATTAGGTTAATGAAAGGCGCATTAACGAATTCGTTGGAAGAAGTGTCCCATAAGACAGGATTAGGGCTTTCGAAGCTGCATTGTGGCACACCACCGGTAGTCTGATGTTATGTGCACGCAGCAATGGTATCATCATTTATATAGAAAGTACATAAGTGATGCTCGGCGATTATAGTTGTGAACAAGGACACCCTCAGAACGGCGTGGAAAAGCAGTAAGTTCGGATGAATGGGAAGGCTGAAGACAGAAACGCGGCATTCATAAAACACAAATTGGAAAGCGGTGGATGATACACAATAGTCGGGGCAACGATGGGTTTAAAGACTTACGGCTCCGGCTTTAGCCTCTACGACTTCAGTGCCTGCGTTTTGAATTCGTGTCGTCAGCTTCTCTCGCTCGTTCTAGAGGAGATACGGAGAATATCCGAAATCAGAAATGAGTGTATACTGAAAATGCAAATAGCTAGCTGACGCATAAAAACAGCGATAGAAGAAAATCGCAGGAAGGTCACATTATGTGAAAATTCGGTTTCGATCCCAATTTGATGTATTTAAAGCATACTACACAGGCTAGACCACAGAGGTCACTCTGTTCAATATTCGGTGAGAAAAGCATAGTAAAACGCAAAAATGGCGAATAATAATTTCTTTATGAAATGATATTGTGCTTGTGCATTTGTTTTTATTTAGACCTCAAAACCAACACACCAGATATGTTTTGTAAGTTGATGCACGATTTTTTTAAAAGCACTGCGTTACATCGTATTATGAAAATTCACTTATGCCTAGCCTGTCTGTCTGGGTTGTTGGCAATGAACGAAGCGAATTAGCTGCCTCGGCAGTGATTCTGTTTGTCCATATATGGATGAAACAGCCTCAAACCGCTTTCATGGTGATAAACATCATGAGGCCCTAGGTACGCTTTGGAAAGACAGAAAGAGGATGATGTCGTTGTCAACCCTGATATAGGCGCTATCGCAACCGATGCACTGCGGGACTACTGGGCTATGATATCCCTGCAATCAGAATAAGGGCGATTTCAGACAACATACGAGCAATATGGTGCAATCATGTGCCCATTTGCTTCAATCTTTCCATTGAGAAGTTAATGAGAATGGAGAGATAGGATAGCATTCACAAACCCCACAAGTCATAGTGGACTTAAAGGAAGGGACAGAGGGACTACTATTGTCCACCACGAGTTTTATACCTCGAAATCTCAACGCTGTGAAGCAAATAGCAAAGCCTGTGTCGTGTTATAGGAATAGTCCGCCCTCTGCGTCGTTTCAACAGGGATCCCGTCTCCGTATAATCATGGACTATGCACGACACTTTAGTTCGCAGCTTAGGAAACGTGCAAAATGGATTCACCTATAATGCAAGTCGGATATAAACCAGCGCTGTGATATATGGACAGTGCTAGACCAGCGCTCACACGTGCGCACTACGTCACACCGCCCAGTTAACCTGTCTGCTTTAAGCTGGAGTCAGTAAACCCGTTACTGGTTGGAATTCATTACATTTGGACTGAGCCATCACGTGCACGAAAAAACACCCTCTCCGCAACTGTCAAGGGGCGCAATTACCTGAATTCTACAACTGCCTCGCGGATAGGCTACTCAGCCAAAACATCATCATCATACACGTTCGCTAGAGGTGAGAAACACCCAGCTATGGTGCCGCAATACATAGGAAAGAAAAAGACACCACAGAGGCACGTCAGTTATGTCACAAGTAACGGATGGACATCGTTCCGAAGAACTAAGAGCCGGCTATTTGCCGTAAAAAATTACACTGTGTTTGAAAAGAGACGGTAGTTAGAGGGGGGAGGGACAAAGAAACTCACAACATACATGCCCCTGAGATCGGCTCCTAGCCATATCAACAAGTGCATCCAACCAAATGTGCTCATCGTCTTTCGGGCCACAACCAGAGAGCCGAAAGGCTCCAACCCAGGCCAAATTCGAACTAAGGATTTTCATTCCTCTTGACCAAGTCATCGCTTGACCAGTCCTCATCTTCTTCCAACCATAACCCCGGCGTGCAAACAATGAACGTCGCGGGAGTCGGTGTGCTGACATGCCGAGCCATCGGAGCCTGATTCGTGAAATAACGGTGCTGAGCGCTTCACAGCCTCCTCCTGGGTCATAAACAAGGAACCAAACACTATCATTGCATCCACGGTGTACCCACCAGATATAAGCCAAACTGCGTAGGTACTGGCGATCGAACATAAGTAGCCTCTTTAAGTTTGCCAATTTATTGGACCAGATTTCACAAACAAAGGCTAGAGAGAAGTGCCCCCTAAGTTAAGCCCTTACTTAGGCTTGAAAAACAGGGCAGTATCAAGCTATGCCATAAAAGACATGGAGAATTCATCGTGCTCTCCTGCTGCAATTACCGTTCCTTACCTTCATGCGGCCTAATCACACGCCAACTGCTTATTTGTTAACAAACCCTGTTACCCGTTACCTGATTAGTAGGTTTATGGATCTACTTCCGACGCCGACTGCACCGTATAGCATAGAGTTCAACCAGTGGCCATCCTTTGACACCGATCCACATTCCGTCTGGCGTGCTTTAACGCACGGACACTCATGCAGGTTGGACAAGAGGCCGATCTGGCGAGTCCGCTGCTTTTCCGAAACCGGACTGAATGGCCCTAGCACTGTACTTACGCTTAGATCCCCCACTAACTACAGACCCCTATATCACCTGCATTTTCCTTGTGACACAGAAGCAGCCTCAGTGGACCTGGTTGGAGCAGATGTAGCACTAGGTGGCAAGGCCGAGGCACTGCTGCACTGGCTTCTGATTAAAATCCGACTGGGTTCATGTAGCATAAGTAGCTGTCACGAAGAGAGACAGCTGACTGAAATCGTGACTCAGCCAAGGGATTTTTTAAAGAGAGTTTCATCAGCTCATGAGAAACGCTAAAAAGGCGGACGTTGTTGCCTTCGTTAAGGGATGTCAATACTAGGGTTAAACGCCTGTTACCACTCGAACGTCACCTTGGTGGTCAACATGGGTATAATTCTTCGACGACTTATTGGTCTTCGCGATAACCAAGTCCCTGGAAGTCAGGTTGGCATTCGTCTGTCTACCATGACCCCCGACGCTACGGCTCCACGGGAATCTGCCTCCTGAGTTCATTATAACAAGTGGTGTTCGCCGGTGGTTGTGCATATCTCCTTTCTTCTTCAACTTTGTGATCGAAATGACCATGAATGACTCAGTTCTCTCAAAGTCTACCGGAATGGAAGTCATTCATTCATTCAGTATACACTTTAGCTAAAGGTGGGAAACACCTCAGTTACCGTGCCGCAATACACAAAAGAAAATAAAGGAAAAAGATGTGACAGATACATGCCAGCTGAACTACCAGTAACGGATGGGCATCGTTCCGGCAAGCTACCAGCTGGCTACTATGCAGCAAAAAAGTTATGCAAAATTATATTAAGCTAAGAAGTGAGATCGTGGTTGGAGGGAGAGGCTAAGAGGGATGGGGTGGGACAAAGTAACTCACAGCACGAACGCCACTGAGGTCGACTCCTAGCCATATCAGCAAGTGTATCCAGCCAAAAGTGTTCGCGCAAGTGCTGCTTATTGACCGGTTTGTAGCAATGTGCGTACATTGAGGCATACCAATTTGAAGGAAAATCGTGCGCTCGAAATGGAAGCCGATGAACTGGGCTTGACTGCTTGCTTGGACATGGGCTTGTCGACACGCCAGGAATGGCGCTCCGCGTTCACATGTGAGTTGAAACTAGGAGATAAACGCCTATCAAAACAAGGTTGGGGAGGACCAAGATTTGGGGGTTGAAAACAGAGGGGATGAAAGTGAAGCTGGAACGGGACGGTAAGAGAGAAAAAGCGTAAAAGGGGGAATAAGATGGGAAGGATTGAATAGTAGCAGCCAAACCCTTATCAACTCTGCTCGATGCAGCAGATAGGGTACCGCTAATTATCCTCTGCGGTGGTCAACCCTTCAGGAAATTGTTTGACGAAAGATTCATAGTATTGCGTGGGCAGGATATTGACAGGTCGCCCAAACCTAGATAGGACGACGATTAGGGTACTCAACCAAAGCCTTTGGTTCAAAAACCTGACCGCAAGGCAGCGAGCTACAATGAGTCCGTCTTAAGGAATAAGGAGCCACCCAAATTTCAACCCCCAACCGGGAGGACTAGGAGATTGTCTGGCCTCTACCCATTGATCAATCTGGTAGGAGTGGCTCTGAAGGTGCAAAAAAGCATCACCCAGCATAGCTCCACTGAGGCACGCAAACCAACGCACCACGTTAAGGCCCAGCCTCATTGCTATGGCTGGAGTGTAAGTTCTGTCAGATAACCGACTAACAAAACTTAGTATACGGGCGGCATAGCTCATCTTGGATTTGACGCAGTGGCTTCCGGAGTATTGCTTACGTCTTGTGGGAACACGGGGTGAGCAATGCTGAGGTCCGCCAGTTGGTTTTTGGCAAGAAGATTTCTGGTGGCTCACCCGAGAGTCCAATGAAGCATAACGGCCCACGTTGATTAGATTATGTCCTCTGTATGCGCGTCGACCGCTTTCCTTATCGTGCATCATACGCCGCGGCTACATCATGTTGGGCGAAAGCTCGAGATGGCCAATATAGACATGGCATAAAACATGAAGAAACTGACTGAGAGACTTTGTCATATTGGTGCATGATGTCTTCGGAGATGGGGATCTCAGGATGGTCCACACCAATGTTTGGAGATCATATCACACGTGGCACAGTCGCGCATGCAGTGGCGTTCTCACCTTTAGTGTCTTGCATCTAGCCGTTAATTTTCGTTCCAGTCTGATTGGTTAAACGCACTTCCCTCTTGATTTTGTTCGTTCTTACATGCTATTTGTACATAAGCTCACTTTCTTGTCGCCGCTATTTTATTTTGGCGATGTAAGCAATGGCAACCAGATCGACGGCAGTGGATGGTTTAGGTGTTTCTCCCTCTTATCCATACACAGTACAACATTTGCTCGCGGAGGTCAATGGCGGTAACAGCCAATCAATATTTGCCGAGCTCGCTTCTCAACTCAAGCTATTTTGTTGTAAGTGCTTTGACACCAGTCGCGGTAACATCATCATCGCGTTAGTGCGTAACGTAGCGCAGCGATGCGTAAGTGAAGGTGAACTGCGTGGTCACGTGCGTACGCGGTTACAGGTCACTGTTATCGATCGTCTGGGGTTGTGACCTTAGAAAATGGCCTCTTCAATCCATGCCTCGTGATCATGGTCCGTTTGTCACCATATCAGGCTATTTGTACCTGATAGTGGAGTGAAGGGATGGGAAAGACAAACGTCAACCCTCAAACTGGCAACCATCCTTATGAGGTGGGTGCAATGGAATCGTTGTTTTGGCGTCCATCAGCAT